CCTTATCTTAATTCATATATCTTACAACGACAGGTGCCATAGGTAAAACAGGATCTGCTTACCCTTGTGGAGCACCTGAGATCATCCCCGCTTTTTGATGGGGTTGGTGTTGCTCGGTCTCTAGTTTTATATGTATTTAAAATGAGTTTGAAAAGAATATTTTTTTTTTATTTCGTGTAAAGGTCCATATTATTCCTTAACACAGCTAACAAAAAAGTATAACAAAAATAAACTAGACAAAGTGATGGCACCGCACTCCACTCTGAAGTAACTGTATCATAACAAAGTCAATGTAGGACTTTCTTTGAGATATTATTGTGTCTGGGAGACACAAATGATGCCCCCGCAGATGCAAAGTGCTATTTCAAAATACACGAAGTAGTGCATGGTAGCACATAGGTCTATGGTTCACTGTAGGACGAGTCATCCGGAAACGCTATGCACCTCTTATGCAAGTAAATACTCCAAAAATGAAAAAGTTCAACTTTCTCCTAAAAGAGCAAATATCAATAAAAATCAAAACCCTGACCACATGCTAACCTTCAATAACAGCCAGCAAAGTGAAAGCTTCCTAAATTTCAAACTGTAGGAGGAATTATCCGGAAACGCTTTGCACCTCTTATGCAAGTAAATACTCCAAAAATGACAAAGTTGACTATCTCCCAAAAGAGAAAATACTAATAAAAATCGAAACCCTGACCACATGCACACTTTCAATAAATGTACAAACAGCCAGCAAAGTGAAAACTTCCTAGCATTCAAACTGTAGGAGGAGTTATCTGCAATAACTATATACCCAAAATGGGACGGACGGACGGACGGAAGGACGGACGGCGGAAGGAAGGACAGACGGACGGACGGAAGGGGTTAAACAATATGCCCTCCGCCAAATTTTAGTTGCGGGGGCATAAAAAAACTGCAAGTAAATTTCATAAAGGGGAAGTCCATAAAATCTGATAAAATCAAACGCTATCAATCAACGGCACAAGTGAAAAACAACTGCCATATTCCTGACTTGGTACATTTTACCTAGTTTTATAGCTATCTAAACCTCCCACTTGTATGACAGTTGTTTATCAGAGAGAAACCAAATCCGTCGCTGCTCTGAGTATACGTTAACAGAGCTGTTAATCAATCTTGACCAATCCGAGGGTTTGAAAATCAAGAAAATGTAGCACTGATATGATGTCAGGTATTAACAATATTGTGGGATGGTGAAATTTCAATGGTTTGTATGTTTATATTTCTTACTTTCAGATTTATATATTCATCTGTTTAAAATTACTGTTTTGATAATAAAATATTCACTGGAACAGATTTATTGGATCTGTTTACTTATTTACAGAATAGAATCTTATTTCAATAATAAAAGAATGAAGCAAGCTGTTTTGTTTATCTTATATGGTAATTAAGGTGATGACCTGAGTTCTGATATGTGAACCCTTTGAATGTCTATTCATTGTATTGATGGTCAGTTGAGGTCATTTGTCTATTTCCATTGGTCATTTAAACCACACTTATGTCTGTGGAGGGAAATCTCTCTGTTCTTAAAAATATTCCTTTGATTGTATTCAGCATGAAGGCAGACATTTTGAGTTATACGCAATCTTTTATATTCTGGTCTCCATTTAAGGCTTTATACTCAGCTGCTGTTTTACTTTGTAACCATATTCTTCATTAAGATAGGTATGGTAGTTACTAACATTATAACGAAGAAGATGTGCAATGAGTATCCAATGAGACAACTCTCCATTCAATTCACAATGTATAAAAAGTTAACAATTATAGGTCAAAGTACGGCCGTCAACACAGAACATTGGCTCACACCGAACAGAAAGCTATAAAGGGCCCCAAAATGACGAATGTAAAATAATTCAAACAGGAAAACCAACGGTCTAATCGATGAAAAAACAAAAAACGAGCAACACCTATGATTGTCATTTATTTAAAAATTCTAGTATATTTGAGATGGGTAAATTATTGACTGATGGATAATACAGCTAAACTGATAATATGATTAAAAACTATAGAAGTATTAAAACTTAAATGAGTTAAATTCAAAAACCATTAAATCAAATATAAACTATCTAAAAATGTTTTTATCATTAAACTAGAAATTGTTAATTAAAAGTAGGATTTCATGTACAATCAGTGTACATGTGTAAGTGTAAAATTTTGGGTCACAATAGTTATAATCCTTATTTTATATTCAGGTGTTACCAGGTTTTTAAGGGGTAATGTTTGATTCCATCCTTTGAAGGGATATTATTGGTTTGACCTTCGTATCTAAGTGTGAGTAAAGCATTGATTTGAGTTTTATATGATTTGCAATCAATGTTTATTTTCGTTGCTTATTATTTTGTTTGATTATGCTTATTTTTAATTGCTTTGCTTTTGCTTAACATTAGCTATTTAGTTTGTTTCGTGTAGAATATAGTATTGCATGTAATTATATTTTCAAGACATTATTACATAATTGAATAGTGTCAAATAGATGTGAACAAAAACACGATTGTTATACCTTAACAGGATGCCGCCCTGTTTTGCAGATTTGACCTTTGGTAAAAGGCCATGGTTATTACTTTGCTGGGCAACATTCTAACAGCGCCTGCATATTGATTTTGCATATCCAAGTTGTTGCGAGACATTTCAGAGCTTTTCATGATTTTCTTGATAAAGGATTGATACTTACAAGGAAGCTTTTGAAACAGGGATAACTTAGAGAAATATTAAAATAATCTTTTCGGAAGTTTTACGGACGCTAGCATGATTTCATTGATTGTTATGGAATGTATTTGTCAAAGACGACAGTATTATCTTCAAAATCTCCAAACGGGATAGCACATCTTCATTTTTACGGAGATGTTGTTTACCGTGCACGGAAATTTAGAAACGATCCTGGTAAACTTATCGATCCTTTAAATAAACTTATTCTAAAAAGTTACCAATTCAATACTGTCATTAGATCTTTGAATATTATTTTTATTGGTATTAATATTGATTTTGTTATCAGTAAATTAAAAGCAAACTAAATATTATTGTTATATACATATGCACTTTCATGGATCTACAATCTGTCGATTCCTGTATCTTGGCATTGCACAAGGTCATGTATTTCTTTGACTGTTTATGACGTCTTTACACTAATTCCTTTGGATGTTGGATGTGTACTGATTGATAATTTAGTTAGATGCATGATTTTTTTTATTAGTTGTTATTGGCTTTGAACTAGCTGTCAGTAACTATACGAGTACTCTCAGATCTGTACTTAGTGTCTTTTTGTTGTTGGGATGTACAAGTACCCGGCCACGTCCACTCTGTGTTTTTGTTATATGTATTTCTATTTGTATCCATCTGATGAGTTAAGCCGTTTTCAACTGATTTTTATAGTTCGTTCTTATGTTGTACTGTTACACCACTGTCCCAGGTTAGGGGGAGGGTTGGGATCCCGCTAACATGTTTAACCCCGCCACATTCTGTATGTATGTTCCTGTCCCAAGTCAGGCGCCTGTAATTCAATGGTTGTCGTTTGTTGCTGTGTTACATATTTGTTTTTCGTTCATTTTTTTGTACATCAATTAGGCCATTAGTTTTCTCGTTTGAATTGTTTTACATTTGTGATTTCGGGGCCTTTTATAGCTGACTATGCAGTATAGGATCTGATCATTGTTGAAGGCCGTACGGTGACCTATAGCTGTTAATTTCTGTGTCATTTGGTCTCTTGTGGAGAGTTGTCTCATTGGCAATCATACCACATCTTCTTTTTTATATTAGCTACAATCCAGTATTGTTTTCTTCAATTGTGACAGTCTTATCGCATGAATTTACTTGCTATGATCAATATGACAGGTGCTACTACTGGGACAAGCTACTACTGGGACAGGAAATTCTTTGCCGTCCTGAGTACCTGATATAACACTATGTATTTTGTGAGTTTCTTCCTACTTTGTTTCCTATGTAGTGTTTTAAAGACTGTTGTTTTTCTTTTTTGTCATGGTATTGTCTGTTATTAATTTTTTTTGTTTATTGATTATCCTGTTGGTATCTTCTGCCGCTTTTATCGGTAGGGGTTGGTGCATTGCGAACGAATAATTTAAACATATTTCAATAAAAGCGGGATTGTTGTGTTCAAGAGAACAAATTATGCCTCTCCCTCTCCCACAGAGCACAAAGACACAGTAACTTGATATATTGCCACTGATTGTGTTAATTGTACATAATTATTTTGTCCCCTAAAGACAGACATAACGGTCGCCATTTTGCAAACATTACGTGATGTAAAGTTCTGTATAAAAGAGACAAAAGATAGTAAAGGGACATTCAAACTCATATGTCAAAAATAAACTAACTATTCCATGGCAAAAAAAGAAAAAAAAACCTAAAGACAAACAACAGTAGACAAAACACAACATAGAAAACTAAAGACGAGCAACCCGAACTCCACCAAAAATCAGGAGTGAACTCAGGTGCTCAGGAAGGGTAAACAGATCCTTCTCGACATGTGACACCAGTCTAGTTGCTCATTTAAGTACACATCCGGTGATAAATCTAATTCATTAAGCTCATTCGGGGAAAGAGTACAGGATTGTGGTTACAACAATTAGAACATATCCGTCGTCATCTCTTAAACATGCATTCCATAATGGTTAACCAACTCGTGATGTTATTAAAGTCTATGTATCTTGATTGAAAATCATTACCCAAAATTTAAGATGACAACATTCAACAACCCGGAATATAAATCAGTAAAACCATTGCCTTCAGACGATATGTTGAGGTTTAACAACCATAGATAGATTCCAGGGTATGCTGCGGTTGTCTTAAAGCATAAAAACGAAAATAAACAATAAACAAGCGACGAAGTATGTCCACCTAACGAATAATTGAATACTAGTATTCGGTTACTAAGATGTTGTTGTGGTCAGTTTATGAACTTTTGTTATGTAAAAAAAAAATAAAGATGGAAGAATGCTCAGGCGGGCTGACAAAAGGACAGGTGGTCTGATAGTTGTAAATTAATATCTCAAGTGTATTTAAAAGAAGAAAGACCATCAAATTATTCGATGATTTTTTATTTGGTGCATCTCACTTATATATAATGGCCAGAAAACATCGTGAAATTATCACCATAAAGCTGCCCTCAACTTCGTGGATGACTGACCCAGATGCGATCGCCTTCGTTCAGTTCAAGGATGGTTTGAAGAGATCCCGATGTATATTTATCATAAGCAGCATGTCCCCTTACAACAACTATGTTGTTCAATCAGATCTAATTCGAGCCACTCGTTCCTATCATTACTGGCAATGAAATTCACTGCAAATTCGTATGTGCCTTTTCATGGAACAGTAAACACTCCAGAAATTGCGTCATAACCACCTCCGATGTTTGTTTGTATAGCATCAAACTTTACTACGTGATTCTTTCTTAAGTTGACAGTTTTAGATAATGTTACAAGAAATGCCGGTTTATCTGAAAATGTAAGATTAATTATTGTGTGTCACACTCCATAATATAATAAAACATTTTAAAATTGTATCACAGATTTACTTTTGTATATATTTAATGTTAATATATTTGAAATATGAAAACGAGTGATTGTTTACAAACTTAAGGTATCTGCAATAAATAAAAATGATTAAAATTCGTTGTACCAACACAAGACAGCATAATAAAATCTTTAACATAAAAGACAAGTATATGTCCATTAGATGTTTAATGAATTTTGCTCCTTTTACACATTCTAGGTATTTATACCATAAAAATTGGTCACAATCATATGTACATAAAGCCCAAGGACGGAGATAAGAATAGGATATTAGTATAACCCTCTATGCAATGTGTTTGTTTTATTGTAGAATCAGTAAGTTTAATAATATGGACCATTTAAACATTCCTTAATTGTCATTTAAATCGATTTTCGATAAAAACTTGCTCTAATTTTCAACATTCCTGCTTGTAATCAAGAAAAATTCCTTTTTATCTTTCTAAATAACTAATTATTCTTGCTTTGTTAACGTTCATAAATGGTTATATCAATCGTACGAACATAGTTTTTTTTTCACTCCATAAAGCTGATATAGTACGGTATTTTCATGGACAGTCGCGTTTGTACTTCCAAATAGTATTTAGTAGGTATATATTTCAGCGCCAATCGAAAACCATGTTCCAATACTGACATAAAAAATTGGTTGAATACTTACATGATTGACGCTTTTCCATTTCGTATATCAAGTCTTCAAGTACACCAGCAGATGCTAAATTCGAAACCATGCATATTACAAAACTATACAGTAGCATCATTTTCAGTGATTGAACCGAATCAAAAGGATGATTAATCAGAAAGAATGACAATATTTAAAACGACGTTATGTCTAAATGCAATGCTGGATATCAGTGAATGCGTACGTGTTAAAGATATTCGACACCATACTATTTTGTAACATATTTTGTTTTGTGCAACTTTAAGGAATCAAATAACTGGAAATACTCATGTATGTGAAGTTAGCAGCCGGTTCGTTATTCGATATTCGATATTCAATATCCAACCGGCTGCTACCTTCACATCCATGAAATACGTACTCATAGTAAAATAACGTTTGATAAACTACACAATATTTCAGATCGTACAAATCAAAACACAAAGAGGACAACTACAAGGCATAAAACAAGACATAGTCTTAAAGTTGTGATTTCGTGGTATGACAATCTTTATCAGGACTGAACACTTATTTGTCTATATAAACCATTTAATGTACAAAGCATAACGACATATAACATAAAATGTCTTAAAACCTTTAAACTCGAACAACACACACGCACAAACACAAACAGGTACGTAATAATCAAGTGTAAAATCAATTTACCTTTTTACTGCTTTTATCTCGTACGAAACTACATCTGATATAGATTTATTATCTTTATGTTTTATACTCACATACTGATAAATTTCTTATTGCTTAATGTTCAATTTTTGCAACAAAAACAACAAATAGTCTATGCCAAGTAAATTTAATGTCGTTTAGGCAAAAGTGTAATACCTCTTTTATGATGAATCTCTCAATGTAGTTATGCAATATTGGAGGTGGCCAAGAACATAACCGCAAACAACTTATTTTCGGGATTTTTGTTTATTTTTATTTTTAAGTTTATCAAGAGAAAAATGATCATATAATAGAAAGGTAATAACTGATTACTTTCTACATTTGAAGCGATAATAAATCGAATGATTTATATTCTGCATTCAAGTAATAGTTATACACCGAAGGATAGGTGTGTCTGGATAAGAAACCCCGACGGCCGGAGGCCGGATGGGTTTCTTATCCATACACGCCGTATCCCTGGTGTATAACTAACTTACACCCAATGCTAAACCCTATATTTGTTAACATTGAAAACAAACTGACAACGCCATGGCCAAAAATAAACAGAAAAATAGACAAATAATAGTACAGATGACACAACATAGAAAACTAAAGACTAAGCAACACGAACCCCACCAACAACTGGGGGTGATCTCAGGTGCTCCGGAAGGGTAAGCAGATCCAGCTCTACAAGTGGCACCCGTCGTGTTGCTTATGTTATTACAAATCCGGTAAATAGTCTAATTCGGTAGGTCACATTCGTGAAAAGGGAAGGGTATTGTAGTTACGACATAAGGAACATATCCGATATCATCTGTGAAACGGTTATTCCATAACGGTCAACAAACTCGTGATGGCGTCCGTAAAATTTACGAAGGGATGATTTCAACTTCACCACTTGGAACTCTTGGTTTAATAGCTTCCTTGTGAGCAGCAATCCTCTATCAGGGAAATCATGATAGGAAATACAAGCCCCGGAATATCGTATCAATTGGGAGATATATACTCCGTATGCAGGCGCTGCTGGAATGTTGCTACATAGAAATGGAAAGTTCACAATTGGGAAGCTGAAATCATCTCTTTTGTCGTAAAGTTTTGTTTTCAACCGACCCTCATTGTCAATTTCTAGTAAGTCAAAATATAAGGCAGACGTAAATGTATCTGTAGTATCCTTTATCTCTAGTTCGATGGAATAGATTCGTTCAAGATAGTCACCAAATGTTGTATTATTTAGTGAGAGAACATCATCTATATAGCGGAACGTAAAGTTAAAGGATATTGATAACTTCTTATCTTTCTTCCTAAGAAGTTCCTGTATGAAGTCAGCCTCATAATAATAAAGAAACAAGTCGGCAAGAAGAGGGGCACAATTGCTTTCCATTGGAATTCCAATTTAGTTGATAAATATATAAGCTTCAATATCGTCATCAACTAAGTCAACATCTGATAGTTTGAGACATATGTACAGCGGTTTTGCTGAAGATTATGACGAATATTCTATTTTTATGTCTATTTCACATTGTACGACTTTGCCCCCAGCAGAGCTATAGAAAAACAGTACATTAACGGGTGTTACACGGACACTTTTTAGATGATACACGGACACTTTTTAGTTGTTACACGGACACTTTTTATGAATAGAATCACTCGTGCATGATCAGTGAGTTCATGGGCACTTTAAATTTCAATTAGATTTGAACTTTTTGTTTCACCGACATATTTCCTGTCTTTTTTATTAAAATATTTACGTTTGCATCAATAACTATATTTTTTTCAAACAATTCCAGTACATTACTATTCATGTCAGTACACTAAGATTGACCATTTAACTTCAAAAGGGGGGGTTATGGTTTTTTCCTAAAAATATTCTGATCCCCAATTTTATGAGAAAAAAATATATTGACAAAATAATGTTCTGATTCCTGATTTTCTGATTTTTTTTCAATTTATGGACATGAATAGTATTCTGGACAATGCTGAAAGTAAAGAAATGCTGGTACCGACGTTTATATTTCAATAAAAAAAGACAGGAAATATGTATAAAAAATCAAATCTAATCAAAAGATAAAATCCCTATCAACTCACCAATGCACGATTGATCCTACAGATAAAAAGTGTCCGTGTAATACATGTTCAAATAGGCAGCATATCTTGAAGAAAATCATTCAACTTATGTCACCAATTTTGGACGGTAAGCTGCGATTGGATCATATTGTGACACGTGTTTAATAAATCCTGACCAACACTATTAGAGACATATATAAAAACCTACAAGCATGACATTTTTAAAACAAATCCAAAATGTATGCCTATATATTATATCTAATAACAAGACAAAATCCATTTTTTAATTACATTTCATTCACTAATGAAATAGGAAATTCTTTTTTTTTATACATTTATATTGTTATTGAATTCATGTATTTGGAAGCAAATGTACGATTTTTATTATTTTTAAAAGGGGGAATGGAATGGCACATCCTGCATTTTTTTCGACAAAAAAAAGGGTCAAGCCTGTTTATTTTAAATTTTTATTTTACCCCACCCCCCATTTCCGTTTCCCCAAAAATAAAAATCAAATGTTAGCTTGCTTACCCCTGAAATCTTTTTCATGTATAACTTACTTGCAAAGTTGCATTTTAAAAAGTCTCAAATGTTTACAACATTCATCTTTTACATGACATGGTCCTTTTTATAAAATTATTAGATTCTTGAATTTCTTAAGAAAAAAACTCTCGGCTGAAGGGAAATGAAAAAAAAGTTTGTTTTAACTGTAACTTACATTAACTGGTATATGGCCAATTACGTTTCTAATCTGTTTAATTTTGCTACCTCTTCTAAATGCAAAATGTACTACTTCTTTCTTGAAACGTCGTACAAGTTAGATACAAAACAAAGGTAACAAAAAACAGGCCGGAAACAAACTGTCGTATAGTTTTTCTGCACTTGAAGTCAAACTATCCGGCAACGGTTGTTACCGGCCTGTTTCTTTGTTACCTTTGTATTGTATCTAATACTTATTTGGTTGAGTTATGTTGACAGCGGTTATACATGACAGTTTTTGACTAAACATCTATGTTCTATATGGTTTTTCGCATGCAGGCTGTTGTCTGCTCTATGGTCGGGTTGTTGTCTTTTTGACACATTCCCCATTTCCATTCTCAATTTTATTTCATATTAGACTAAAAATCCCAGTAAGTATTCCTTGTGATGAATCATCATCGTATATAACTATCTTATATTAGTGCTGTTGCGTAAATCTTTAGAATTTATAAAGTTTCCTTATTTGCGCAGTATCGCCTATTCTAGACGATCCGGTACATATTAAATTTGCTGGTGGATCATTTTTATATATATATAAGTGGTCTCAAATTTAGCCCCACCATGTTAGATCTTTAGATTTGCATTAGCAAATTTTTGTTCTTCCTTCAACACGGGATTCAAACACGCATTTCTGTGACATCGTGGCAAAACCACCTCAGACCATTCGTCTAACTAGGTTATATGAAAATATTGCTTTCGTTAGTCGAGAAATGCCTTTTATCGTCGACTTTATCTATGTTGTAACACGGTACATGATGTATAGTGGCAAGTAGGATGGTGCACCTTTCAGATAAGCTCTGTTTTGTCTGTATTAAAGGATTATAATGTTACTTATCATGCCGCCACATCAAAATTCATTTTCATTATATACGTCTAAGATGCGACAATTTTGTGATAGACATTCTCCACCGGATAACTCGTGGATATACAGGGCTAACACCATTACATATATATATATCTAACTTGTCTTAAATTGAGCCCAACAATGTTAGATTGCAAACGCAATTTTTTGTTCTTCCCTAATGGGATTCGAAGCCTTTCTTCTGTGACATCGTGATAACACCACCTGCACTGTGTCCAGTACCTCGTGAATCACAGTGTTTGCTTGATCGTTATGACATAAACAGTTAAGTATGCACATTTCAATATGTTAATTTTCATCTCCTTAACAACTGATTAGCTTACTGAAATTCCAAATTAACTTATTTGTTGTAACCGTAATATTTAGCAATAGTGTTGTCTTAACCTATCCTTTTCGAACGCAATGTCGGCGCATGGTTTAATTTTACTGGTAATTTTTACCCAGCTTGGACTGAAATAGTGTTACTGTGACTTGAATGTAAGTGTTGCTCTCCACCTATTGCAATTGTTTCAAAATTCTGACCAAATTGCAATTTGTTTTATACAACCAAACTGTTCAACTGGTCGGAAAGTTAAACGATGGTCCTTGATTAAGTTTGATCTAGAAATACGTGGAGAGCACAGTGGAATCGGTGTCATTCAGTGAAAACATGAAATGTGTATTCACTGTCCCTCATGGAAAAAGGGTTAAAAGCATATGGCCCTATATGAAACAGTCGTTAGTTTAAATGAGTCTTTGGTTTAGAAAGGTCTAATTTTGACATGAAAACTTCTATCCTAAATAAATTTGATAAATGAATAGTCCAAAACATTGTTTGTTTTGTAGGTCAATGATTTATAGCTTTGTTTTCTAAGAGGAAGTTATTGTGTAATTGTGATTTGGATAATATTTTCTATACGAATTACTGATCTGTTG